TCTATTTCAAATCTCTGTTGCTAATCATATTCTGTTAGTACAAATATATGTTGATGATATTATATTTGGTAGTACTAATCCAGAACTGTGCAAGAAATTCTCTCAAGTAATGCAGAGTCAATTTGAAATGAGTATGATGGGAGAACTCAGCTACTTCCTAGGACTTCAAGTCAAACAAGTTCCAGAAGGAATCTTTATCAATCAAGGGAAGTATACCAGAGACCTGATCAAGAAGTTTGGAGTGGAAGGCAAATCCTCAGTGAAGATTCCCATGAACACCTCACAAGGAATTGGTCCAGATGATGAAGGAAAGGATGTCGATGCAACAACATACAGAGGAATCATAGGATCTCTGTTGTATCTGACTGCAAGCAGACATCTCATTCTCTGTTGGAATCTTTGCCAGATACCAATCAAAGCCCAAGGACAACCATCTTGGTGCTGCAAAGAGAATCATCAGATATATCAAAGGAAATCCAAATGCAGGCCTATGGTATCCAAAGGGAGGTAACTTTGAACTAATTGGTTATTCTGAGTCAGATTTTGCAGGTTGCAGATTAGACAGGAAGAGCACCTCTGGTCATTGCCAAATGCTAGGAGGAAGGCTTGTTTCCTGGTTTAGCAAGAAGCAGAATTCAATCTCAACAAGTACAACAGAAGCTGAGTACATTGCAGCTGGGAGTTGCTGTGCTCAGTTACTCTGGATGAAGCAACAGTTGAAGGATTATGGCATTCAAGCAAAGGAGATCAAATTATTGTGTGACAACACCAGTGCCATTGCCATCACTCAGAATCCAGTTCTTCACTCCAGGACAAAGCACATTGAGATCAGACATCACTTCATCAGAGATCATGTTGAAAAGAAGCACATATGCATGGAGCATGTGCCAACAGAAGACCAGCTTGCAGACATTCTGACAAAGCCTCTTCCTGAGGCTAGATTCAACAAAATGAGAGAGGAATTGGGGATGATGGATGAAATCCCAAGGGAAAGTTTAAAAGGAAGGCCCTCTGTTGCAAAATCACTGCTAACAGAATACCTGTTGCAGAACCCCTTTTGTCAACCCCCCCCCCCCCTTCTGTTCTTTATCCCGGCAGAATACCTCAGCAACAGAAACCCTCTCTTCCTTCCTACAGAAAACCCCTTCTTATATCTAACAGAAGGTTGTGGACTTAGAAAATTCTGAAAACCGGGTGATCTAGTAACTTATTAAATGTCTTTTACCCTTTTACCCTTAAAACGGTATCCAGCCGCATAATATTTACTGCGCCCCTTTTTACATTTATTGGTACCTTGGAACCGTAAATAATCTCAAGCGTCCACTAACCCGAACCCATATATTCCCCTTTCGCAAACCTAAACCGTTACTGCTTTCATTACTCTCAAATTCTCAAATCTCCATAGCTCTCAAGCTCTCTGCAACTTTTCTCTGCTCTAATGGCTTTCATCAACATCAACGACCTCACCAAGGAAGAAATCAACACCCTGGCCACGAACATCTATACCGGGATGAACTGTGACCTCTCCACACTCCCTGAACTCGCAGCTAATCATGAAACGATGATGAAAATCATCAAGGGAATGGAGGACTCGCAACTGAACAAGGTAGTAGGATATCACTTTGATTCCTACAGCACGAGGGACGTGGCAGAGTTTTATCTCAATGCTACGTACGAAAGGGGAGACCATCTGGTCAACTGTCAATGGTGAGAACATAACCCTCACTCCTGAAGTTCTCAACGCCCTGTTTGGCGTAGTGGAGGACCCTCAAGAAGAAGAGACTGAAGGCTTCTTATCTCTGGACAGTGTCAAGGTCACTGTGGACAACTTTGTCCAACTCTACTGCCGACCTGAAGTGGGTAGAGTTCCCAATTTGTACATGAAGAAGAACCTCCTTCAAAGTGACTATGAAAAGCTAGTGAACATCCTCCATAGGTGTGTCTGGAGCAAGAGCACCTCCACTGATGACATGAATGTGCTCAATGCAAAAGTTGTCTTTGCAGTTCATCATGGGATGAACATCAACTGGGGACAGGTAATCGTCAAATCTCTAGTTGAATTCATCAAAAAGAAGGACAAGGAAACTGGACTGTTCAAAACCCCCATGGGTTATGGCCTCTAAATCTCTGAAACCCTGCTCAAGGCAAGGATAGGGCTGAGAAACCCTATTGAGGCAGATTACACCAAACTGCTCTTCCTCAATACCTCTGGTGACCGAAAGGTTGCACTCAAGGCTGAATAGAAGAGGCTGAGGACTCTGGAGTTTAACCGGGAGAGTGGGACCTCTCCCAGAACTACTCAGATTGCTCCCCAACTTTATCATAGAGGAAGCTGAAGCTCTGAAGTGGGCTGGCACAGAAGATGTTGAGCTATGCCTCAACAAGGACTTTCTTCTATCTGTTCTTGTGAGAAGAAAAAGGGGGAATGCAAAGGTAAGAGCAAGCTCACTCATGTCATAGAAGAAGAGCATGTCAAGGCTCTGACAGAAGATGAGATGGCAGCCTTTGATGATTGGCTGATTGAAAAGAAAAGGAAGGAATCTATGATCAAATTTCAACATAGTGCACATGGAGAAGGGGAACCCTCCACTACTAATGATCTACCCTTGGGCATGGAGAGGCTGGTCAAGGAATGGAGAGATTCACAGTTCACAGAGACTCTACTTGAGGTAATTCCTGAACCTCCACTCTCACCCAGAATGCCAACTCCCTTTACTACTCCACCCCAATCTCCTCCCCAGAAAACCCCTTCTGTACTTATTCCAACAGAACCCCTGATTACATTATCCCCCTCTGTGCATACACTCCCATCCCCCTAACAGAACACCTCCTCACTTCATCAGAAACCCTCCTCTGAACAGAAAACCCCCACACCCCAAAAGCCCTCAATCTCCAAATCTCCATCTCCTTCTCCCTGCAAACCGTTCTCTCCCCCAAAGAACAGATCCCCTTCTCCTCCCCCATCTTCTCAAAGACAACTTATTCCATACCAACCCTAACAGATCATCTCATCATCACCACCACCTCAACAGAAATCCCCTTCACCTTCCAAGTCTGAACATCAAGTCACTCCACAAGAGTCCCTTCCACCACACCAACCTGCAGCTCAGCTAAAACCTGAATGGTTCCTTAGAGACTCTGATCCTACTACAGTCTCCCCCATCTCTGCACCACAAGGTTATTCTAGGCATTCTACTGCCCCCAATCCCTCCCTCCGGAAGAAGAAGAAGGTAATCAGAAACAGAATCCCAATCTACTCCTCTTATGAAGACTCCTCTGACATGGATGGCTTCATGGTCAGCAAGTCCTACAAAGCTACCTCAAAGAGACAGAAGACCCCCCCTCTGACTCAACTTGAGCATGAACTTCTTGTCCAATCTCTATCCTCTGTCCAAGAGCATCACCCTTTGCCTAAGGGAAGAGGTTTAGAGCTGTCTCAATCTGATGGACAAGAGAATCAAATTCCCTTCAACAAGTTTGTTGAAACAGCAAAAGAATTTGGTGGTCAAGTCCTCCAAGGCATGGACAAACTCATCCAGATCAATGACAAGCACTTTGAGCACCTTGCTCATGTGAATGATAATCTCAATTCTGGGATGCAGTTTATCTCAGATCGCTTTGAAAACCTCACAAAATCCCTCCACAACTTCATGGCATCCTCCTCTGCCAGAACAGATGCACTGTCAACTGAAGTAGAAGGTATACATAAGACCCTATTCACCTTTCATCAGACTCTGATAGCTCAAGGCAAAGCAATTGAGACCATCTCCACGAATATTGAAGATCTCCAATGGGCTGATACAAAAACAAAAGAACAGCTGTTGGACATAGAGGAACTTTGCAAAGTCCACCGTGATCAAACCAGGACTCTGTTTGCTCAAGACAAAGAGAGATACCAGAAACTGGTTCTTCTTGAAGCAAGTTCCAAGGACATTGCCTCAGCTGTTCATAAACAACAAGGTCTGATAGAAGGTCTCACCTCTGTCACTCAGACCTTACCAGAGGCCCTTGAGAAGATAGCCTCCTCACAGGCCTCAGAGTTCCAGAAGATCAGCATGATGCTAGAGGACCTAAATGATGCCAAAAAGGGGGAAGAGGACCTTCAACAAAATATGCCTCGGTCCACCAGAATTCCTGCTGAACCAGTTGTGGATCCCACGCCTTACTTTGAAGCTGCTCTCCAGAAGAAGAAGCTAGCTGGTATCCCTTGTAACACTTAAGAATTTGATTATTTAGATATAGTAATGTTTCGGGACGAAACATCTTTTAAGGAGGGTAGAATGTGACACTCCAAAAATCTAAATAAAAAAAAATAAAATTAAATATATATCAGTCAGATAAAAAGTTACGGAAATAACATTTTAATTATTAAGTGAGTCAAACAAAATTCAACAGTTGTGGCATTGTAACCAGATAAAATTTTCAAGTTTACGACATTTTAGTTAGATAAAAACGTTTCAATAATAGAAGTGACATTTCTATAATTATGGAAGTGACGTAAAAAAAAAGTGACGTTTTAATGTTGATCAGATCTAAAGTAACTTCTTTTAGGGATATTATTTTGATAAAAATATATGGACGTCGGTAGATAGGACGAATGAGATACACTAAAAGGACACTAAATAAGGAATACACAAAATGTACTTTTCAAAACCCGTTACATATATAATATACGTAACTTATACGTATATTCCAAGTTATAATGCAAAACTCATTACATAGCTATAATGGTACACTTACTTATACGTATATTCCAAGTTTGACTTTCCAACTTTTAATGGGAGGATTTGCAAAAATTATGTAGCTAAACCTTGCCAAAAATACACCTGCATTACTTAGGTACAAAAATATGTACTACTTGCCGCTATGGAAATAACGTACGATCGAAGTACTCATATATAGAATGATTGATCATTAAGCATATCCCACGCGTACGCATGCGTTATTCAGCGGAAGGACAAATATATATGGAAACATTATTAAGGAAAAGATACGTTGCTGCACCCTAAACACTCCGAACTGATTGCATAAATAGCAGTCTTCGTTGATATGTACGGCTCACAAGCAAAGCTTAGATTCTTACCACTTCGTACGTGAAAGTCTACGAGAGAAAAGAAGAGAACGAAGGAGTATAAGAGCCGCTCCCTTGAGTGGAGAGGAGTGAGTCGAACACCGCCGCTAAACGCCGGAGGAAGAAACCGCCGGACCAACCGTCTCCAAGGATAGCAGGATCTCAGTTCGCCGGACTGTGTTTCCTTTCTTTTTACGATGTCGAAGACGAAACCGAAGGAGGAAGGGGACGCTACTGCCACAGCCGTGCCGCGCTACCTTCTCCACGCCGTCTTGCTGCAACTCCCGTTCGTCGAAGAGGTATTTTTTCTGTGCTACCCTGCGTTTCCGACGTTTCACGCGAGGAAGAAGACCGATCTTTTCTTTTAACCAAATGGCGGGCTGGGTTATTTTAATTATTAATGGTGGGCTAAATTTTATAATAGCTATTGGGTCAATTCTAACATTTAGAATAATAATAACCTAGTTTAATTGTTGTAGACCTAGTATTGGCTGGCCGAAAATTAGACTATAAAATGTTCTGAATAACATTAACTTTCAGTAATAATAATAATAATAATAATAATGATGGATGATGTAAATAGTGGGTTAAATTATGGACTATTATATTTATAAAGAAAGGGGTAGAGGAATTAACCTATAGTTTTGATAAGATGTTGATATTAGAATTTTAATATTCTTAGAAGGTTATTTCAAGAAGATCAAAATAGAAGTTTCGGTTAGCAGTTATCGTGATTTGAGGTAAGTTTCTCTGCCAATCTAAAATTGTTTCCTCGTATTATATGCTTATTATGCATTATGTGAATAAGTGTGAATTGTTGAATTTTGTGTATGTGATTTTTGAAGAGATATTATATATATGGTAGTTGAGAAATATAAATTAAGTACTTTTAGGGTATTTAATATTTTTAAATACCTTCAAGACTTTTTAGAGAAATTGAGAAGTATTTTTGAAGTATTATTTATTGAAGATAAAATTTACATTTTTATAAGAGGTGAGCATCACGGGAGAAATCTGTGGTGTCGGTTTTCCACGTCCGGATAAATGTGGAGGGTGATTAGGTCTGCTACTACTAAGAAGTACAGTTTGAGTTTAAAGTGATATTTGGATCGATGATCCCTTTTAAGAAGAAGTTATGGTAGTAGTAGTCCCTAGTCATTCAAAATATCTTATTCAGGGGTAGTTGGTAGACTGAGTCCCGACTACTCGTTACGACTTACTACTCGGGGGGCTTGGAATCCCTTTTAGGGGGTGTGCACACTTAAGGTAGTCGTTTCGTTTCCAACAGAGCAGTTGTGGTACCGGCACTTGTTCGGGGTGGCCGTCCGTAACCACGGTCCACCGGGCTCTACCGAAAGGTTGAGCACCGCCCTTCTAAATTACTAGGAAGTTAGAAAAGAAGTGATTTTTGAGGAAATCAAAGAGAAGAGTTATTATGAAGTTTTGTAAAGAAGTAGTCTGGAGAAAAATCAAAGTGAAAAGAATTTCGATGGTGTGAGTATTTTTATATATTACTATATAAAAATCTATTTTAGTCAAACATGATTATTTTACGGGGTTTGATAGTACTTACTTAGCTCTAAAGCTAATTTTTATTATTTTTCTTGTCCCTATCTCCCCCATTAATTTTTAACAGGTGATGAGTTGGATGCTTATGATGATTGATGGATTGCATGCGATTGAGAGCGAATTAGAAGATGCCTTAGTCAAACCTAGTCAAGAAATAAACATTTATTTATTATGACATTAGTTTTATTGTTTTGTTTTGGTTTGCCTGTGCATTCGGTTAAGAGATGACCGGATGTGGCGGTAACACCCATTTCCCTTATTAAGACTTCCGATGTATCTCTGATGTTTCAAATAAAGTTGATAATTCCTTTGAATAAATCATTATTTAAATGTATTTTTGGTTGGGGAAAATGGGGGTGTTACATCCCTAGACCTCCATCCCCACAGAAGAAAGGAACTAAGAAGAAGAAAGCTCTAAGCTTTAAAGAATGGAGACTGGGAGGATCTCAAGTGATGACTAAAACACAATTTGAGGAAATGAAGCAGAAGATGACCTCCACACAACAACAAAATCTTTATCTGGACCATGATGGTCATGTAAAGGTTAAACATGGTGGATCTCTGGAGGAGGCAGAATTCTGGTTTCACAACAGCATTGTACCAGGAAAAGATATTCATGAAGGTGTTCTAAACTACCTAGACTGCAAACTCTCACCTGTTTGGGCTTCTTATCAGAGAACTGGAAATCTGGTTGGAATCAGAGAAGAGGTGAATGCAGAGCTAAAGAGGCTACAAGGACTGGATGAACAAGCAAGAGCTGAAGCTGCAAAGACTATTATGTAATCAGATACTCTTGTAATCCACCTTAATAAAAGAACATCTCTGCCTCACACTTTGTAAGGCAATTCCTCAATCTCTGTCTTTTCTTTGCTTTCTGTTTGTGTTTCTTTGTTTGCTCTTTGATTTATTATCTGCTATCTGAATGTACTATACTCTTACTATCTTCCTATGCCAAGTTGTCCACCAAGATTTTAATGAAAGTTTTTAAACTTTAATTCTTTATGGTGAAGGCACTTCTCTGGAAATAGTTAAAGGGTTTTGGCATCATCAAAAAGGGGGAAATTGTAAGGAATATTTGTAATTAGATTTTGATGATGCTAGATTAATTAGGACTTTAGAGTACCCCTCTTTAGACTTAATGTATTAGAATTTTCCTTTGTAAAATTTCTTAGTATAATCGACTACCAGAAGGCCTCCAGAGCAGAAGACCTCCTGACAGAAGATCCTTGGTTCTCTGCCTAGGAACAGAAGACCTCAGGGTCTCTGATAGCCTTTACTCTGACAGAAACCCTCCTGGTTCTCTGTTAGATATATTCTCAACAGAAGTGCTCAAGACCTTCTCTGATCAACTCTCTGCTAAAGACACCAGAAGGCCTGACACTTAGAAGAATTCCACCAAGTCGGGAAACCAACTGAAAGATTCCTTCAACGGCTAGGAGTCTTGAACGGAAAAGCTACAGTACGCGCATTAAATGCTCATTTAATGCTCCCCATACTCCGTAGAGTAATTGCAGATGATTGGCCGCAATGTCAGGATTACTTTATCCCAAAATAGTAACCCGCCAACTTTACTGGGTCCTACAAGTCAAGTCAACTGCTCGCTCATTTAATGCATTTGTCCTCCTTCTCCTCCAACGGGAAGACAACCTCAGTATAAAAGATACACTACGAAGAACAACCGGATAACTTTGCTAACCTTTTGCTACAACTCTGCATATACAAGAAATTCAAACGCTACAAAGCAAAAAGCCTCCTTGAGATTAAAACTTCATCATCTTCTACAAGAGAGGGTAGAAGTTGGAAAAATCCTTATTTTCAACTCAAGCAAAGTTCCAAGTGTTCTTCAACTCTTCAAGCTCAATACTTACAAATCCCTTGTAACGAAGCAAGTTGGAGGAACCCCTATTCTAAATAGAATCTCTTCTTTCACAAGAAGGACGTCCAAGTACCTGGAGCTGTGAAGTGGTGATACTTCTGGAAAGCTCAGTGAAAGGACCAGTCTTAGGGAAGCCGGAAGTGCATCCAAGAAGACATCTACACTTGAAGAAGACGTGGAGAGCTTCTTAAGTGATAGGGCTAAGGCATTGTAAACGGAAGTTTTTACGAGCTTAGTGGAACAGTGGACTAGAGGAACAAGTTGTTCCTTGAACCACTATAAAAAGCCCTGGTGTCATTTACTTACTGCTTTACATTCATAGTTTTCATTTGTACTGTCTAACTCCAAAGACTTGGTATCTGTGTTCAGCAGAACTGGTCTTGTGAGTTAACAGAAAGCCTACTGCCTTTTCTTCTCTGAGGCTATTAACAGAACTCCCTACCAGAACCCCATCCGCTGCCAGTCTGTTCTGCCAACAGAACAGGCTATTCTGTTAAATCTGGTACTTAGCTTGAAAAAGTTAAAAACCAATACAGTCTATTCACCCCCCCTCTAGACTGTATCGAGTACAACCGGGACCAACACTTTGACCTTGCATTTCTCATATCTGTTCTACTGAAAAAGAAGGAAAAACGTCAAGGCAAAGCACCTCTGATCTCTTCTTCACCAGAGAAGCATGTGAAGGCTTTAGAAGAGGATGAAATGGCTGACTTTGAAGCCTGGCTGGTAGAGAAGAAAAGGAAGGAATCTCTTATCAAATTTCGTCCTAGTGTTCATGGAGAAGGGGAACCCTCTACTGCTAATGATCTTCCATTGGCAATGGAGAAGCTAATCAGAGAATGGAGGGACTCTCAATTCGAGAAAACCATCTTTGAGGTAATTCCTAATCCTCCATCTGTTCATAACTCTCCAGAACTCCCTCCTCCCTCTCCCAAATCCCCTCCACTTATTATGACCCCACCAGTTAACACTCCACCCAAATCTGCCTCTCCTCCCCATTCGCCTTCTCAGCAGAAAACCCCAGCCAAATCTCCTCCACCAACTAAACAGAAAAACCCCCTCCCCCACCAGAAGTCAAACTCCACAAAAATCCAAGTCCCCCTCACCTTGCAGACAACCTACTCCTACCAGAAACCGTTCACCCTCACCTCCTCCATCTCTTTAATCTCAAAATTCCAACCTGCAGAAAGCCCCCTCTCACAAGAGCTCCCCACATCAGAAAATCCCTCAACAGAGAACTCCTACTCACCAGAGCTCACCCCCTCAGCAGAAATCTCCTTCCAAATCCAGAGTTGCTACCCCACAGAGGTCCCCTCACCACTCTGTGGCCTCCAAGCCCAAGAAGGAACCCGTTCTTAGAGTTCTTTCGTCAGAAGATGACAATGGAGGATTTCTTACCTCATCTGTTGCTGCTGATCTCACATATAAGAGGAGGAAGACACCTCCCAAAGATCACTCTCCCAAAGATCACTCTCCTAACCCACTGGCAGAAACCCTTCATTGCCCCAGGGCAGAGGTTTGGAGATGCCAGGGTTTACACCAGTAAAGCCTGAGATTACCTTCACCCAATTTTTTGCATCTGCAGAAGAATTTGGTGGTCAGATGCTAGAGAATATGAATCAGCTTATCCGCATCAATGACAAGCATTATGAGCATCTGACCCACACCAACATCAACCTCAACCAAGGATTACAGCAGATATCAGAGAAGGTTGATTCTCTGACAGAGACCTTGCATGCGTTCATGAACTCCTCAAATAACAAGATTGATGCAGTTTCCAAGGAAGTGAATGGAATCAACTTTGTCCTCTACTTTCACTCCCAATCCCTCAACAAGCAGAACGAGCAGCTTAAGGAGATCACTGAATCCATAGATATTCTACAGTGGAATGCTGATCAATCTTCAGAACGATTTATGGAGATAGGGATTCTCTGTAAAGAACACAAGGAGTAAGTCTCAAATCTTCTGAAGAATGACAAGGAGAGATACCAGAAGATGGTACTCCTTGAAGCCAGTACTCAGAGCATTCAATCTACAATGGAGAGACAACAGAGTTTGATTGAAGGACTGGCATCTGTTACTCAGACCTTGCCTGAAGCCCTTGAGGAAATCAGAGATGCTCAAGCTTCATAATTCTCAAAGATTGAACTCGTACTTGGCGATCTTGTTGATGCCAAAAAGGGGGAAGAGACCAGAGAAGAAGAAGGCCCAAGCACCAGAGCTCTATCCATCAGAAAACCATCATCTACTGTTGACCCTGCTCCTTACTATGAAGCTGCTAGGAAAAAGATGATTGCGGCTGGAACATACAGACAACCACCTCCACCTCCCAGAGGATCTAAGAAGAAGTCTTCTAACTTCTCATTCAACGAATGGATGAAGAGTGGTTTGTCCAGGCCTTACAGAGCTCAATTTGAGCAGATGAAGAAGCTCATGACCCCACTTCAGCAAGAGAATCTCTTCATGGATAGTGATGGACTTGTCCATATCAATCATGGTGGATCCATCCAAGAAGCTGAAGTCTGGTGGAAAATGAAGGTCATTCCAGGCAAAAATATATCAGAAGCTGTAAGAAATTATTTGGACTGCAAACTAGAGCCTCACTGGGCAGAATGCCAGAATCCGAGGAATTCAGCCTCCATCAGAGCCAAAGTCAATGCAGAGCTCAAGAGAATTGATGAAGCTGATGCACAGGAAGGAGAAGAAGACTCTTAATTTCTTCTCTCTCTTGTATTTGTACTCTCTGATAATAAGATACCAACCCTGCCTCTATTTTGCATGGCACCTTCAAATTATATGTTCTTATTTGCTTTCTGTGTTTGCTTTTAACTTATGCTCTGTTACCTTTTTCTTTATTGATTGCTATCTGATTGTACCGTACTCTTACTATTGTCCTATGCTAAGCTGCCCACCAAGATTTTAATGAAAGTTTTTGACTTTACTCTTTAATGGTGAAAGGCACTTCTCTGGAAATAGTTAAAGGGTTTTGGCATCATCAAAAAGGGGGAAATTGTAAGGAATAAATGTAATTAGATTTTGATGATGCTAGGTTAATTAGAATTTGAAAGTACCCCTATTGATGGAGTATATGGCCCGGGAACCCTCGGCCCACAGACTCCTACTACTCCAGCGAAGGCCCAAAAGGCCCAACAGGCCCAAATCACAGCGCCCAGGGTACCAGGCAGTCCGCACTGCGCGCCAGGGGTGCCTTCGGCCCCCTGGCCGAAGGCTCCAAATTCTCACATAACGGGTTTTCTCAAGCAAATTAAGAAACTGGGAGAAAACGGCGAAAACAGTAACCCTCAGCATTGTGAGCCCTCGGCACCAGGGTGCCATCGGTTGGAGGAGCCCTCGGCTACTGCTCTATAGCCGAAGGCGTCTCACTCGACAAGATATCCGCCTCACATGCGTACAGATCACCGTACCCCGCATAGACATCCCATCCAACAGCCGCATTAAATGCGGCCACATGCGGCTGCCAGCGCCAACCAGTTGAGGTGACCCCCCGACCAATGAACGCTTGACACGTGTCCCTGCCCGGCATTTATTGCTACTATAAATAGCACCCCATTTCCTCATTTGTAAACACGCTGAAAACGGCATTCATATTGAATACACTCTCTCTCTACTTTTATTTACTTGCTCTGACTTCTCTCTAAGTTACCCCCCGTAATAACCCTTCGGATATATACCCCCGGGCAGACTATCCATCATTTGGTGCTCTCGTTGAGAGGTTGAACAATCAAGTAAGAAACCCTCCCCCTCGACCAAACACAAAACACTAGCCCTCTATCAAAATGGTGAGGACAACACGTGCCAACTCAAAGAACGTGGAAGACAAGAACCTGGCCCTCGGCGATGTCAACGCCCCCGAAGCCTCTCACAGGGCTCCCGAGGGCGGTGTCATCGCTGGGCTGGAACAGGCGGCTGTCGACCTACGCCTTCAGATCCAACAAAATGCCCCCGATGCCCGCCTCGGCATCGAGGCCAAGAAGAAAAACCGGAGCGATGACCAAGTCAGCCCTCCGGTTCTCACCATCGACGTGCAATCGGCGCT